TACACTGCAATAACGGATTTAATTGAGTATTGCAATTGCGCCTGTTTTCCTTTCCTTCCGCGCATTAATTTACAGCTTTCAAATCGGTTAATGGTGAAAATAACGGAGATTGCGGTTTGGGATTGAAGCGATTCTCTTTCTTTCTTTCTTTTTTAAACACGGAAACCCTTCGTCACATCGTCCTTAATTGTTTTTTCCAGCTAATCTGCGAAACGAGAGCTAATCCGAATTAATAACCGGATTTAATATCGATCCGAGCACGGCGAAGGGTGTAGGCTAAGCCGGCTTCTTCACTTAGAACGGTTTCCCGGGAGTATGCACTCCGTTATTTTTAAATCTCTTGCACGCCACTTAATATAAATTTTCCAGTTTTAAAATACGCTCACATAATATATTAATTTATAATCGCAACAACACCAGAAAATATACAACATAATGTATAATAATGTGTAATAATAATATAATATAATTTCATGTCGTTGTCAGAATAAAACAGAATCTGATGTAATTTTTCTTGCATTTTTAACTTTTGTGATTCGATTTGACAGCCGTTAATCAATTTTATAGTAGTCATTTATAATTTTTCCCCTTTACATCCTTTTAGTAATATATGAGATTCCTGTGTAAAAAAATCCAAAACCAGTTTGATGTATTTAACCCTTAATAATTAATTTTTTAAGTCTACATTCAAAGTAATAAAACGTGCTATTTCACAATCAGACCTTCCGGAAATATATATACATTACTATTTTAAAACCAACAGCACTTTTTTTTTGATATGTCATTCCTGGAAAACTCACCGTGATTTATCAATTTGAGACTTCATTCGTTCCTTGTTAGATCCGTAAAACATCAGTGACATCATCGGTTAGTGATATTTTGACGTGCACAAACAGTTCTGAATTGTTAGGCCTTTCTATATGAAATGGTAAAAAAATTTGTTGCTGCCATTTGCATTTTAAGTTTCCTAAATTATTTTTTACCATTAAAATTATATTACTTGTTGTACTTAACAGTAAATAATCCAAAAAAATTAGTTCTGTTCGTATTACTCATGGGCAATAATCAAAATATCATTTTTAAATTAAGGACTCTTTTAAAAGCTTAAAAAGTCATTCAAAGCTAAATTAGCTTTGTTTGTGTAAGTTAATTGATTATAAAATAAAATATGTCCACGTTGTATTTATTTCACAAGCCGGTTTGATTACACTGATTAATTGGTTGATCGATGGTATTAATTCGGTTTGTTTAATGAATGGAATTCTACAGAATTACTATCACCGTTCATTCACAACATTACAACTTTTCTAGATTTTTCTTTTAATTTTTTATCTCGTTCTCTACAAATGAAGTAGTAATATAAGCACGCAAATACCAATTTTCGTTCATTGTGTTCTAGTAAACTATTGAAAATCAATAATTATTAAAACCCTCAATCCTTAAGAAAGTTGCTTACTTTTCCCAGGCTTTCTATACTAATTTTGCAATTTGCTTTCATCGAAAAGGGATTTTTTTATTCTTGTGTGCTTTACGTTAAAAACCTTAGAAAATTAAAAAAAAAAACTTTTTATTATATTAATAACTCCTTTTATTTAATAATATTTTTTGAAACTACAGTAATTTTAGTTTTTTTATGTTGTGAATTTTTTTCTTAACCTTTGTTAAAAATAGTTAAATTTTATTACATATATAGTATAATCTGGTAAAATTTACGTTTTTTTAGTGGAAACAATTATTGATCAGATGGGCAAAGTTTGGCTGGCACCCGGCCTTGACGGGAATGTGACCTTAGGCGTGCCATCATCGAGCCATATCGCGATTCGAGAACATTCACATTCAGACAACCGTTACCTTTCGGCTGAAACAATTTTTAAAAGGGTTTAAGCACGTGGAAGAAGGTCCGTTATCACTCCCGGTCCGTCTATTTTCGCTGTTCTTCATCCAAAGGCGGAGTAGTTTTCCAACGGTAGACTATGCCAAATGGATTGATGACCCGGCTGAGAAACCTGCATTAACGAGTGCAAAGCAAAACTGAAGATAACGTAAAGCCGAAACGATTATTTCTTATTATTAGACAAGGGGCGGACCAAACACGTAACATTGGTTTTTTATCCACAGCACAAAAATAGATCCACCCTTAAAACAGGTTTAAACGTTTTGCATTGGATAATCTACGAAACTACGTCTATCCAATAAATATGAAGAAAAAATCATGTAACTCATACAAAGAAGACTACAATCTTAAGATAATGTAAAGATAACCAAACCAAGCACACTCACAACAGAATTGCCATAGAATTACTACAGCACGAAATTGTCACTTGAAAGAAAAATAGACATAAAAATCTTTGAAAAAACACTAAACTGAACCTTTTACCTTCTACCAAGTTTATCAGACAAAAATAGGCTTGATCCTCTTATATAATATATTTCCGAAAAGGCACAGACATCCACTGAAGACGAAAAGTTTTTAAATCGTCCACCGAAATAAACGAAACTTAATTAGGTAGTTTAAATTTGGATTTACATAAGCTCAAATTTACACAAGTATGTACATATATATACATATGTACAGAGTTGAGCCTATCACTTCTCGCAGCTCAACGGCAATTCCAGCTTTTGTAATCTACAATAAATTACCGGCAGGCCTCGAGAAATCACCCACCTCGGGTGTTGGCAGACCGGGGTCAGACTTAGGTTATGTCGGGCCATCCACCGAGGTTGGGCTCCGGGTGCTGTCGACACTTTAGCACCAAACACATGCAGTTCCTAGATCCAAACACTCTCAATCATTCCTAAATACATTCTTTCTTATTTATATACCATTCACTCAATTCGAGTGTGGAATACTATTCATCCATTCCCCTCTACACACAGTAACTAACGTAATTGAGTTCGACGGAGTATTCAAATTCCGCTAATACTCACACTACTCATTGATGCCAATAAATCTCAACTTGGTAAACAATATCAGTACTATATACAATAAACCACCTGTTACCTGTTCCCTCCAAAATCGGCACTGGTGTCCAAGCTCAAGCACGATTCTCACACCGCGTGGTGTTCCTTCACACTCTCCATACAAAGCCAAGGATGCACCCGTCAATTAGGTGGGACATATCGAGCAACCTTTCTCTACATGCCAGACAAATACGCGGGTTTTGGCTCAAAAACGATATCCTCCGAGGGTCAACTAGCGGTAGTGCCCTTGATGAAAAACATGCACAAAAACTTGATTAAAATAGATCAACTTGAAAATGTTTGCTCACTCCTTAATCCACATTTATGAAAATCTTATAAAACTACTGCAAACATACAAATAAAGCACATTTTTACAGAACAAAACCAGAAGCCAAATAATTCAAACGTCAACCCGATAAATCGAAAAAAATCAATTTTACAATATTGATTGTAAAAGCAAATTTCACGTAGATTAACACACATTATTTATCTAAGCCCTAATGTGTTCGTTCCAATCGCTTTCAACTTGTGCTTCTATAGGTAAAATTAACTTCTTGGCATCGTCCGTTGGACAAGAAAAATTAACACTTTTTCCTTCAATTAACGCTACTAAATTAGATCGTGGATCCTCAACAAAATCGGAGTAATTTGCTATTCTTAACCTTTTGTTTCCGCTTCTATCTTCCATAATAGCTCAATTTGTATTGTCATTCCGGCAGGCGAGAAAAATAAACAAAAGATTAACCTTGGCCATCTCAGGTGTTATTTCATCCTGATTGATTTTTTCCCGAGCGTGTTACGGATGTGCCTCATTCGAAAATAGTCTCCCATGCGAGCTTTCTGGCGAATTCTTGAGGAATTGACTATACGGATGTATGCATATCTCACGGAACGAATCATATCCGCCCATGGATAGAAAATGTATTCTTTATATACTTACACATAAACAGCGTATGCAACCAAAATGTGATGTTATGGTTTTATTCCAGCATGTATTTACCTTTACATATTGGTTCAAGATTGTTAATGCTTACTAATTATATTCTTTTAAAGTAGATAGAAATAAAAATGTTTATTCAGTATAAATTCATTGAACAAAAATACAGAAACAGTAACTGGTATGACTACAGCTGTCTGTCAGGAGTCTAAAATATAAAAATATACATTTCTTAGTGAAACACTTATTAATAGTTTGAAGCAAAGCAAATTTCGAAAAATAAGCTAAGGGTTTATTTATAATTAATTTGTTTAAGTAAATGACTTCTGAGGCTTATGGTTTTCTTAAAATATAAAAACAAATTTGGTAAATCTTTACCATCTATGCATTTACATTTTGTAGCACATAATTAATTTTGTCTTGTCCATAATTCCCAATATAATCTTATTTTCATCTGCATTTAAACCCCAAAAATTATGTTCTTATGACAGGGTTGGTAATAAAAACAAAACGGTTCATATCTGGTCTTAAAGACAGTCTGTACATACCGTCATTTACCCCTAGCCATGCAATTCATCCTTCAACAGTCACATATACATATATGTAGTACGAAAAATGCCCATCATATTAGCCATTTTTCCACAGCTGTGAACTGTTTTTCCAAATAACATAAATAATTACGTATTTTTAATTATAAAAGTATCTTCCTCTTTGGCTAATAAACTAAACCGGTAGAACAGTTCATCGTTTATAAGTGGTTTTATTTAATAAATTTGAACTTTTTGCTGTTTATATGAGTGTATGAAAGGTCAATTTCGGCATTTTTTTCAGATGCGATAGTCTGAGGTGTTATATTTATTTTTTAGGAAATAATTTAGCCGGGATTTATCTGAGAGGGCACATATCCTACAAGAACAAACACCATGAATTTGAAAAAAAAATTACTGAACCGTATACCTGAGTAGCATGGAGAAATAAATACAAATACATAGGGAATATTCCAAATATATTAAAATAGCCATAACCGCCTGGTCTGTTATTCTTATAAATTTTTGTTTTTATTAAGTTGTAACATGATACTTATTTTTTTCTTTTTTTTTAGCGTTGGCTCCTATGGGGTGATGAGCGGAGGCGGGGGCGGCGGCGTGGTGGGTGCCGGCGGCGGAGGCGGCCCCCCAGGGGCTGAGCCGGGTTACGGTGGAGCCCTTTCCGCCGCCGCCATGGTCGCCGCAGCCACCGCCACGGCGACTGCGACCGCTAGCGTCGTAGCTCTCCAAGACCGCCATGACATGTCCGCACAGTACAACCAGGTCAGTCCAAATATTTAACAATTCACACAACATTTTTTAAACCCTTTTTTCCGCCTGATTTTCAGGAAACTAAGTATGCCTATTGAATAAATATTCTTTGACCCCATTCGTTCGGCGAATCGAATCTACCGAAAAGTTGTAAAAATTTACTTACTAGAGCGGATGAGCTGAGTCCGGTAAAATTCCTGGTCGATAAAAGCTTTTATACTTTTATTATGACATAGCTCTGTAATGGATGGTATCCATCAAAGTTCAGAATATGGACATCGAAGACTAAAACATTCTTAACATAATGACATAAAGTTAAATTGTCTAAGAATAGTTGGTTCATTAATGCAATTTTCTTACGAAGAATAATAATCTTTTGGGGATAAACCCGGCTGTTGGATAGTGGTCAGGGGAATCCCATATTCAGCACACCCTGATTTATGACAGACGTGTATTGAATCATTATTATTGATTTCTTTATCAGACCTTAAATTATAATGTTTCGGGGAAGGGAGAAAATGATCGTATTAGCGTAGACTACAAGTCAAACTACAATTGAACGAAGTGTTCTTTGTGTTAATCCCTTTTTGGAAGTTTAAATCATGATATATATTATCGAATAAATATATTGGTAAAGTGTCAACTTTTATCATCTTTTGAACAGTTGATCCACACCGTCTCAGGTGCGCTTATCTTCATTCTTGTCACCAGACTACCACCGTCAGTGAAAGTGTCGACAGACAAACAGCAAAGATCGGATTAAACGTCATCAAATCGTTGATCACTCGTAGCAATCTTTTAATCTCTATGTTTCTAAAGTCGGTTTGATTTAGAACAGCTTGAACACGGTGAGTTGTAAGTCCGAGAAATCAGAGCAGGTAATAGGTCTGGTTCCCCGTTTTTACCCACTAAATTCCAGGCTGTATGGAATCCGATTGTCTAGTCTGGATTTTTTGTAGAGAACGAAAACCCAGGGCAGTCCACCGGCGGAAACATCGGACAAAGCAAAACGGATAGAATTTCTCGACTGCCATCAATGAACCACAACGCCGGTTGCTACGGCCAGCCGGCCATCTACTTAAAACATCATGGCTAACAGACAAACAGAAAGACTGTACAATTTGTAAAAAGATGCGAGTCGCAAAGAAAGCATTTCAAAATCATGTTAATTATTAACTCTCTTGAAATATCCAGCGAAGGATGACTTTTATGATGCTCCATATCGTCTTTGAGATAGCTCTGTTTTCAACCCGGTCGTGTTGACTTTGGGACACCTATAATCTCGCTTTCAATATGTTGCGTATTAGCTTTACGACATCTGTAAGACTTGAACAGGTGAAACGTTTCAAACCTAAGCGGACCCATATATAATCGTCTCTATAAAAAGTAGATGCAGTATCATGCCCTGGGTATTGCACAGGTCGCAATACAGGCACATTAGTTTTTACCGATCATGGTCCGCATAATATCGTTGGTTGACACACACTTTCCCCTATTCACATTCAGCGGAAGTAATAGTGATGTAACATTTTCAGAATGTTACCAAAATATTTAACCATTTCTTTAAATAAAACAATAATTAAGTCTGCTAAATAATTTTTTTTTCATATTGTAGCAAACATATACGTAAAATTACAAATATATTATATGAATAGTTTTAAAAAGCAAATTTATTATACAAAATCATAAATGATAACGAGTGTATCCGACAGGTATGTGCGTGATAAGGTGTTCTAAGGAAGCCTTCGGAGAAAAAATGAAGATTAGCGTAATTTTCATGTTTTATATCAACTAGTTTAGATTTAAGTTATGAATATAAAAAGTCATATTAAAGTTATTAATGCGATAAGTTTCTTGTATTTTCAACTATTAAACCATGCCACAGATACTTTGTTTTCTATCACCGGAACCAATGTTTGTGTTATTTAATTGAACACGAAAAGCTCGACACAATTATTAAACGATTGAAGCGAGATATGATAGAAAATGCTAGAATGCTAAAACGTACGACAATATAATAACTTAGAGACAGTTGAGTAGAAATTGATAGAGTGGGAACTTATAAGGATGTCAGGGTTTTGAAGCTCATTTTATTATTTATGAACGATTAATAACGCAAATTAAATCAAGTTTAACTTTGTCTTGTGTTAAACGTTACTCTTAAATGAAAAGGTAAAACTTTACTTGACAAACGAGTAGAAACTTCCGGAGAGAATCGGGTTCATTAAGCCTTGTTTTTCCTTAATTAATATGTTTATAAATAAATAACATTTCAAACCTACAAACCTTGTTTTGTAGTTCAGGGATAAAATCGTTGGTAAATTCTGTTTTAACGAAAAACGTAAATTAACCACCAATAATTTAAAAGCCTTTAAAAATAGGTGGGGCGTTTTATCTTTTGAAATATTATCCTTTTCAGTCCGTATTGTTTTAAACCAAGTTTAATGGATTTACATGCGATATCCAACCGCAAATATTTTGAAGGTTTACAGTCAAATTTAATCAGACTATGTATAAAATAGCAAAGATGAAAAATACCTATTTTCTATGAGTGTCTCTTAGATTCTTGCCTATGTATATTAAAGAAATGTATAATTGCCCTTTACATACAGCATCGATATAGAACATTGATGGTAAACTATGACGATAACTAGGCGGTTAAATATTTCAAAAAATTGTATGGCAATTTGGTTTTTAAAGATCATAAAAAGAATGCCTAACATAAAATAAAAATTCAAATCATAAAACAAAAATCTGATATTTTATTGCCTGATGTTCTGTAAGTTTTTTTATTCTTAAACCTTAAATAAATATGAAATTCCAGCATATTATTCTTAAAGTTAATATTTTTGTCGTCTCTCGTTGTTGTCTCACAGGAATTGGAATTTTTAAATGGGTTTTCATCGATGAAATACAGTTATAGCAGATTTGGAAGTGATGACCGAAACGACAAATACAGAATATTTTCTCAGCAAGAAGTGAGGAAGTTTGAAATAAAAAAGTTTTATTTATTTGTTTTCAATTTAATTGTTTAAATTTAAAAGCATTAGACCTTGCTGTAAAAGTAAGTTAATTAGGGTTTAGTTACAGAATTTATAATTACTATATAAAAATTTTGCTACATTTTTCCAAATTGACATCAGACAAACAGAGAAACAGTCGTTTTTAATAGCAATACATTAGGTAAAATATCTCGGTTTGGGGTAGGGTTAATCCCTTATGAATGACAGTGTTTACTGACAGGTTTATTTTCTTGTGAATACTCTTGCTATGTTGTTGTTATAGCATTTTTCGGTGTGACGTTCAATTTAAAAAAAAAAAAGAGGCTCTGAAAAGCTATGGAAAACTTTTCCATGCAACTTTGTTGCTCGTGCCGTGGTTCAAAGTTTCAGTTAAGTTTTAATGGTTTAAAAAATTCTTAGCGCACAATTTCGGTCGACATACCCCGTGTACAGAGTCTAATATTTTTGTAGAAAATTCGGTTACAAAAAAGATACAAAATTTTGCAAATCCAATAATATGATAGAGGATTCATACCGTTTAAACATAACGCAAACAATAAAATCTCCATCCAATTAAAACACTTTCCCTATTGAACTGTCATTACCGAGAAAATGACATGGGGAATGGTTCAGGTTTGCACCCTGTTTATTGAAATTGAATTGTATCAATATTTTTCGTATACAACGGACTCTTTGAGGATAATTGCCGTTCATCCCGTGTCGGAATGATGAGAAGACAAAGAAAAAGAAGGAGGGGGGATTCGCCGTATTGCGCGGACAGTGGCCGCCGTCTGTCGAGCTCATCGCCCCCGGCCGGCCGTCTGGTCAGCAAAAGGAAGAGGTGCTGAATATGGAAAAGAGGCTGCGAAGGCGGTGGGGGCGATGGAACGAGCACGCTCCAAAGAGGAGGGATAAAGGATGAACCTTGAGAAAGGCAAAACAAAGTGTCTTCCCACCGAACAGGACCGGTTTATACCTGCTGATCAGTTTTTACACACTGTCTCCTTGTCGCCTCTGCCCCTGTCCAACGAGGAAACAAGATTTCCAGCCGTGAATAATCGCCGTCGTGACCTACCGCATGTGACGACCCGACACCCCCACATATCGTCGCTGCATTCTCACCGACGGCCGATTCCAGACGAAATTGTTGATAACTTGTCTCTCCCCTGGGATGAATTGCCGAGGACATTACCCTCAAGAACCTCGGATCATTTACGTCCTTCCTTCGGTTATCCAAAAAAGAAAGAAAGGAGAGCTTTCAACTACTACGGTTCATCTTATATTCAGGCAGAAAAGATGTTTATCTAATTAAAAACAAATCTTACGTTTCAAGGATCTTTTGTCTTTCTTATAGCATCATATGTGCTCCGTAAGTAAGACACGAATACGATTATGTGGATAAAAAATGTTTCAATTCACAAGCACGACTATAAGATAATAGGGTATCGTTTAGGGTACGCCCAATCTCGTTGGTTACCTTTTAAATTTCAATAACTCAGATACAACATGTATCGAATATATGAGTTAGGTCGTTTCCCATCACCCAGTATGCTAAATCTCGCTGGTTGGCTTGACAGAAGGTTTTGTCTTCAGTGGTGAGGTTGTAAAAAATATTTATTTAGCAGCAAAAACGTTTTTCCCTCCCCTCAAATAACAAGGACGCTGCTTTCAAATGGACTTGATATTCGAAGTTTTTCTTTTAATATTTAATTAAACTTTTAATCACCGCACTACTTGAGAAGAGTTAAAGTACAAAATGTGTGTAATGTTATAAACGAAAAAAGAAGAATTGAAGTATGGTCTGTCACAATCATTAAATTAAATTTATCGCTATGTTCTGATTGGAAAATAAATTTGTACTAACCTGGACCAGCTTCAAAAGGGCATCTACAAGATATTGGACCGTCGTGCGTCGGCTAGCCACGGTGGTTATTAGGCCGTTGCTTCAGAACTTCTTATATCTTTTTAATCTAGTTAATGTTAATAATGAATTTAATTTAATTTTAATTG